AAAAAAAAAAGAAAAGAAACTGCCAAATTGTTCCTTTTAAATGGTTGTACACCTCACATTTATCCCAGCAGCATTTGGAAGGCCTGGTTGCTTCTCTTTGCTGTTTCATTTAGGCATTCTAATGGATATTTTGTATTTCAGTATGAGCATATCTTCATGTGCTTATTATTTTATATATATGTATCTTTAGTGAAGATTGTAGATGTGTATATATATATATGGACATATATACACACATATATATCATCTGTTCAGATCATTTGTCTTCCCCCCTTTTTAAATTGGTGCATTATAGTTATACATTCATTTATCATTTTTAATTATTTTTTATTTTTTTTAATATTTATTTTTTAGTTTTTTAGATGGACACAATATCTTTATTTTATTTTTATGTGGTGCTGAGGATTGAACCCAGTGCCTCATGCATGCCAGGTGAGCGCGCTACCACTTGAGCCATATCCCAAGCCCCGCAGTAATCATTTTTTAAATTGAACTTTTTTATTCCTGAGTTTGGGGTTCTTTCTGTATCCTGAATACAACTCCTTTGTCAGATAATGTGATTTGCAGGTATTTTCTTCCATTCTGTTAACAGTGTCTTGCAAATAGCAGAAATGAGTAATTTTGATGGTCTAATTGATTACTTTTATCTTTTTGGATCATGCTTTTGTGGTGTGTCTAAGAATCTTTGCCTAAGCCAAGGACCACAGAACTAGTGCCTTAGAAAAATGATAGTTCCCATTTTCTTCATGAAAATTTTACAGTTTTAGGTTTTATCTTTAGATGTAGATCCATTTTAAGTTAATTTTTGTATATGTTACAAGGTGCAGATATCTAATCATTCCAGCTTCAGTTGTTGAAAGGTTGTCCTTTCTCCACCGGAATGCCTTTGCATCTTTATAAAGAATCAGTTAACCAAATGAGTAGTTCTTTTTTCTGGATTCTCAGTTTTGTCTTACTGACCTATTTATTAGTTTTTCTCCATACTGCTGATTTTTGTAACTTTGTAAATAAACCTTGAAGTCAAGTAGTGTAAAGATTCCAGTTTTCTTTTTCAAAGTGTATTTCCATATGGTTTTAGAATCAATATGTTAATTTCAATAAACAACAAAAAGAAAACACACACACACACACACACACACACACACACACAAAGCCTGCTAAGATTTTGATTAGAATTAATTTGAATCTATTGCTCTAATTGGAGATAATTGACATGTTAACACCATTAACTTCACTGATGTTTGAACATAGTTCCTTTCTCCATTTACATTTTTTTTAAAGAGAGAGGGAGACAGACAGAATTTTTAATATTTATTTTTTAGTTTTCAGCGGACACAACATCTTTGTATGTGGTGCTGAGGATCCCTTCTATTCATTCCCCTTTGTGTAATCCACTGGACTTTTCTTACTGCCCCCCCCCCCCCTCATTGTGTGTTAGCATCTGCACATCACAGAGAACATTCGGCCTTTGTTTTTTGGGATTGGTTTATTTCACTTGGCATGATAGTCTCCAGTTCCATCCATTTACCACAAATGCTATTTCATTCTTCTGTATAAAAATTTTTTCTAAAGATATGTCATGAGCACCTAAAAATATGTAGAGTAATATATATTATCATTTACTACCAGAAAAYATACATTAATTTGTTATATAAAGTTAAAACCAAGCTGGGGCTGTAGCTCAGAGGCAGAGCGCTTGCCTAGCATGCATGAGGAACTGGGTTCAATCCTTAGCACCACATAAAAATAAACAAATAAAATAAAGGCATTCTGTCCATCTTAAAAAAAGAAAAAGTTAACACCAAAACTTTTTTTACATAGACAGTGCATGGTACCATTTGCAGTCAAGAGAAATATAAAACAAAAGAAATGTGGTATTAAATCACAATTGTTTAAAATTGACTGTAGTATATACTATATTACTGTAGTGGTTTTTTTGTTTTGTTTTGTTTTGTTTTTGCCCCCACCTATTGCTACTGTGATGAATTCAAGGGTTGAGAGTATTTGTCTCTGCATGAATTATACCGGTAAATTGGATGTAGCAGTAAAAAGTGRTCCCTCATAGTTCTCTTGTGTTTCTCACCATATATATTTATACACATAATAAAATAGTGCTAATTAACTATTTATGTTATCTGTCTGGCCAACAGCTGCTATTAGTAGTTAAGTTTTTGGAGAGTCATCAGTTGTACATATAAGTTGTTTGTGTTCTTTACACATCATTGGACCATTTATTCCTAATTACTTGTTTGTTTGAGGGGTGGTGCTAGGGATCCAACCGAGGGCTTCAAACATGATAGGCAAGTGCTATACCACTGAGCTACACCTCCAGTCCTACTGTATTATGAATATTTTTATGACCCTGTAAATGTGATTAAAACAGAATTATAGTTTCTGATTGTTKGAACATTTTTTTCTCTAGAAATGGCATTGATTTTTGAGTCCTGATCTTATATCCTGTAACCTTTCTAAACTTATTAATTCTAGTAATTTTTCTGTTTTATTTCATCAGGTTAAGCATAGTCACTGTCAGATCAGAGTTGAAGAAATGTTTAATTTCAGAAAATTAATATTAATACCTAAGAAGGAGCTGGACATGGGTGGTGCATGTCTATAAGCTTCAGGAGGCTGAGGCAGGAAGGTGGCAAGTTYTAGGCCAACCCTGGGGGTGTAGGATGTAGGTCTGGAATGTAGATGAGTGATAAAAGTGCCCTTGGGTTTAATCCCCATCACCAAAAACAAAACAAAACAAACCCTGGAAGAAGTGGTGTGCAGCAGCCCAGTGTTTTGTCATCGTTTTTATTTTAATGAAGTAACCAATATTTCTCATAACACGGAACCGTTGAAATTTAAGCTACCATTATTAAAATAGTTGAGTTAGTAGGCAGTTTGAGTAAAATAGTTGATTTTGAATAAGTAATTGCTGTTTGTTTTTATTGTTGGAATTCTAAGAATCTGTTCAAATTATATATTTTGGGGGAGAATCAGTTGCCTTGGTGATGGTTTTGGTGAATGAGAAAGAATATTTGGTATGGACTTTCATGTTTGTGACTGCAACAGTCATTACATGTATCATAGTGTGATTCACTGAGAGGGAAGGAATGGGTTTGGGATTGTCAATTTAACTTGCAAATGTTAGATTTTAGGCCTGTTGTTTGGTTATGTTTATTTGGATGCTTGTAAATGAAGAAATAAATCTTAGGTTAAATAAGGCCCAAAGTCATAGCTAGTTAGTTGCAAAATTCAAACTCAAACCTAGGGCCTTCTGACTTCAAAGTCCACATTATTATGCCTTCTGCTATATTGTATCCCCAATGCAGGAAAAAAAAAATGCTTGGCTTTTACAATGATCAAATATTCCCTGTGAGTTATTATAAATAGATAGCAAAGTTTGCAAGTTCAGATGCCTATAGGGTTCAGAAAGGTAACTGTGAGCCAGGTTGTAATGTAAGAGTGGTGATATTTGTGGAGAACTGCAAAGTCCATCTAAACAGTTAGATGCTAATCAGCCCCAAACTATGTGGGAGTGTGGACCCAGTATTGCCAGACCTACTTATTTTTCAAGAGAGGTCATAAATCTGGATTTTTTTGGTAAACACTTGAGATTTGTAAATGTAGGCAGCTATCCTTTAACACACAGCATAGACCAACCTTAGGTGGGTCCATTAAAGACATTGTGTGCTGGATTCAGCCCAGTGGGTAAAAGTTGTATGTGATATAGTCTGGAAGCAACAATAAATTTATATGATGGGAATAGGGTTGTCACTCTGTATAATGAGCACATTACAGACATTAAAATGAAAGTTGTTTAGTTTAAACATGGTGTTTAGTGAGTCAAGGTTTGACTTCAGTTTTCATATGTATCAGTTAATTACATATGGGCTAGGGAGGAATTGCTCCCTGTAGCTCTTGCCTCCTAATTGCATGCTTTCATTTGCAGATAGAGCCAGTTTTGAGTATGTGGATTTTTGAATGAAACCTGGAACCCAAATGAGAAGAAACCTTCAAGGAACAACTTCTATTGATAATGAKTCTGCAAAATCATCTGTGTGCATACATATGGAGTGTTCTCATTTCAGATTTARCTGAATGAATGGTTCATTCATGAGGAGTGGTAAGTCTCAGTATCTCCCCGATAATTAAATAACCTTAATCTTTTCCATATAAAGACGACTTTCCCTATATTTTTAGTGTTTACTGATGAATAGTGAGTTAATTTTTGTATTATAGAGAATGATGATGGAATCTGAGGGAATTCTTATCCGTAACAACATGTTTAATGTTTGATTTCAGAGTCTGACTGTTCTTTTGATTAGGCACATAATTTCCTTTGCCTCTATGTTTTCTTTTATTTCTTCTGCAGTTCAAGACCTGAAATATTGTCCTTGAAATATTCAACCAACACTGAGGTGATGGTCATATTTACCAGTACCCATTCTCTTTTAGTTGTGATAGTTTTTAGTCCCTTTGGAAGTGATTGTTTTAGGAATGGGCCTGAGTGCCACTTTTGTCCAATAGGAGATAAAAGGGAAATGTGTAAGAAGATTTTGGAGAAGGTTTTCTTGCTTTTGAGAAAAAGAAGAAAAAAGAGATGATTTCTTTTCTCTCTAGAATTGTTTTGTCTGAGTGTGACTTCTGGAGCAGCTGCAGCCTTCTTGCTAGTAGCCTGAGGGTGATGCCTTCTGTGAAGAAAGGCAGAACCAAGGCTTCTGCAGAAGAGTAGAACTGGAGCCCTGTTTAATATGTCTGGAGCCACTTTACCTGAATCTCCTTACTGTTAAAGCAGTTTTGCTTTGACATTTTCTGTTATTTGCTGCAGAAATCATACAAATTCATTTGATTTCTCCTTTTCTAATTACACAGTACCTGCATATGGAGTGTACTGTGTGCACTCTGCCACTGAGCTGTATCCCCAGCTACTTTTTTTCTTATGGTTGTGATGAAAAATGGGAGAATAACCTTTTGAGAAGATTGGGAAGGGCTGTGGTTGGAAGCTCAGTCGTGGAGTGCTTACCTAGCATGTTTGAGGAAYTAGGTTCAATCCTCAGCACCATATAAAAACAAGGTATATGGCAAAATGACTTGACTTTCTTAAAAAAGGGGCGGGAAGCCAGGTGCCATGGCACACGCCTGTAATCCCAGGGACTTGAGGCAGAGGCCAGTGAGAGGATCATATGTTCAGTGCCATCTTTGGCCGAGCAAATTAGTAAGACCCTGTTTGAAAATAAAAGAAAAAGGGTTGGGAATTTGGCTTAGTGATTAAGTGCTCTGGGTTTATTCCTGGTACCAGGAATAAAAAAAAAGAAGAAGATAGGGAAAGTTGTATGATGTGTTTTATGTATTGATTTAAACACAGTAATACCATTATTTTGTAATATAAGAAGTTTAAGCCAGGTGTGGTGGCACATGCCTGTAATCCTAGCAACTCATGAAGCCAAGGCAGGAGGATCATGATTCAAACCCAGCCCTGGCAACTTAGCAAGACCCTGTCTCAGAATGAATGAATGAATAAGTGAGTGAGTGAATGAATGAATGAGTGAATAATGGGTTGGGGATATAGGCCAATGGTAGAGTACCCCTGGGTTCAGTCCCCTGTATCACCAAAAAAGAAAGAAAAAGAATTTAAAAAGAAATTTAAATCACTAAGTACATCTTTAATATGCTTTATTTTATATATACTTTGAAAAATTTATATGAATGGAACATGTCTTACCTGAAGTAATTGTGGCAGACATATGACCTAAGCCAGATCAAACAAATGAATCTGGGAAAGCTGAGATAAAGGTACTCCTATTCTGAAACTTAACCTGAAAAACAAAGGACTCCTGGCAGCTGTCATCTGACCGTGAAAGGCAAATTAGTTGAGTAAGAAGCAATACTGAAGTAGTTAGTAGAGAATGGGGAGAAAACCCCAGAACACTTTGGTCACCTCAGTTGAGGGGCTAATCAGACCTTTCTTTTCTTTTTTTTTTTTTTTCCTTAGAGAGGAGAGAGAGAGAGAGAGAATTTTTTAATATTAATTTTTTAGTTTTCAGCAGACACAACATCTTTGTTTGTATGTGGTGCTGAGGATCGAACCTGGGCTGCACGCATGCCAGGCCAGCACGCTACCGCTTGAGCCACATCCCCAGCCCCAACCTTTCTTAAAGATAGTACACTTCTAGACGCTCAGTTATGTGAGCCAGTGAATTTCTTGTTTAATCCAGGGGTTTTARATTTTCTCTTACATTTATGTAAAAATATCCTAACAGATATATTTTTATCACTCATTCTACATTTAATTGATAACTCAAGGGATTTATGAAGAAATGTAAATTTGGCAAATAGACCTCTGGTATGGGTTATGGGTATGTATGGTGGCAGGTAATGCAGTCCATTCATTTTTTTTTGTTCAAATACACAAGTATCAAGTACAACTGCTATTGTGGTAATATATTTGCAATATTTTCAATGTCTGTATCTTTGCAAATGGAGATTATTGTTAAATAGAGAAAACTAATATGAATAATCTTACTGACAAATGTGTTTTAACCAACTGAGATTAGAGTTCTGGAAGAAGAGTATTTGTTCATCTACAGGGATTATTGTCTCCTTGGCAGKGAAACTTATTGAATCCTAGGCATTGTTGGAACTGTCAAACAAATATGGGGAACTTGGCTGATTGACTTTAAAAAATATGTGTACATGTAATTGTTAATCTCCGCCCCCCCCCCAAGATTTTATAAAGTTATAGGACACTACTCCCTTGTTCAAAATCTTGGATCTTGGGGCCAGTTGTTTTAGAATTCAGAATTTTTTATATTTTAGAAAGGTTAATTTGTATACATACACTGTGTATTTAATGTAACATCTCTTTTTACAAAAGGGACAATGGCTTTCTATTATTAATACCATGTATTATGATGCATTAGTTGGACTACCAAGTGTTATGCTTTCTGTAAAGTACTTTTTAACATTATCTTAGCTTACTTGCTTTGTAAATTATATTCATTTATACCCTTGAGAAAATTTGGAGTGGTTATATGACTTTTCAAGTGTTTGCAGCTGGGGAATGGTGAAGTTAAGATTCAGACCCATATCTGTCTTTGCGCATGTTGTTGCCTCTTTATTGTACCTTATTGCTTAGGTTGAGGCAGAGGACTTATGCCACTTTCACATTGGGTTATTAAACTCTTCTCAGAAGGGACTGTCTTGAAATTTTATTGTGCAGGGTCAGAGAAATAAACTTTAAAAAATTCATTTTGGGTATCCCAGCTTCTTGGTAAGTTCAACAAATTCAAACATACAGTTCATTTTCTCTCTCTCTCTCTCTTTTTCTTTCTTTCTTTCTTTTACTGTGGATTGAACCCAGGGGCACTTGACCACTGAGCTATAACTTCAGCCCTTTTTATTCTTTATTTTGATAGAAGGTATTGCTAAAGTTGCTGAGGCTGGCTTTGAAATCATGATCCTTCTGCTTCCTGAGTTGCTGGGATTACAGGATGTGCCACTATAGCCAGCTGATACTATAATTTCTAAAATAAAATTCCATCAGTGCTGTTGATTAGGGACATGTGAAAGGGTCATGGCAGCTCCTGTGTCCATTCCGAAGTCTCTGTGCATATTATGAGTATTTTCTAAAACTTGGTTTCTGGAAGTGAAATTTTAGGGATACAGTTAAAAGCATATTATTAAGGTTTTTATTTTTAATTTTTAAATTTTTGTGGTGCTAGGGATCAATGCAGGTTTTGTATATGTCAGTTAAGTGCTGTACCACTGAGCCACATGCATCTCCAGCATCTCCAGTCCTGTTAAGGCTTTTAAACTCCTAAGTTGTTGATATGTAATTCTAGGACTATTTCCTGAATCCATGAAGTCCTTGCTGTTTACTAATTTATTTATTTTTTTAAAGAGATGTGGCCTATGTTGCACCAGGCTGGCCTCAAATTCTGAAGCTCAAGCAATCCTCTTGCCTTAGCCTCCTGAGTAGCTAGTGGTGTGTGCCACTACTCCTGGCTTATAATATGTCTAAAATCTACCATTCTGAACAGAAAATTTTGTTTTGTTCTTCATTTTTTAAGAATAAATTTTAAGTGGTCTTTACAAGTCTATTATTATTTTGGAAGAGATACATAAAAAATCAAAAGGATGGACTCTGGAGCTAGATTGTTTAGTTGCATTGACAAGAATTTATAGAATGTGCTTATAATGAGCACCTTGTCTTGGAATGTGTACTGTGTTTCACCACTGAACATTAAGCAAGTCTTTTATTGTGCTTTATATAAAATGTGTAAGAGATCAGTTTATTTGTGGTTTATTAAGAATTTAAAAAATCAACTGGGTGTATTGGTGAATGACTATAGTCTCATCACTCAGGAGGCTGAGGTAGGAAACATTTGAGTCCAGGATTTCCAGACCAATATGGACAATATGATGGGGCCCTGGTCTCCAAAGGAAAAAAAGGGATTTCTCAAATTAGAAGTAAATGTTGAATACGATCAATTCTATTTTGACATCAGTAAGGCCAGATTTTAAATGTGTTTCGACTGGACTTAAAATGCCTTTAACAGTGTTTGTCATAGTGTCACAGTTGTTATTAACTCAAATTATTTCTAGTTATTCTATGCTTCAACCAATCTCTTAAAGTCTGTTAATTTATTTCTTTTTGTAAATTCAGGAATATAGTGCTTGATTTATGCTTTTAAACATTTATTATAGTTTTATAATTTGCTGATTTAGCTTATTTTATATATTTTTCATGAAATATTTATGTGGGGCTAATTTAGGAACTCAATGAATATTTGTTGAATGATTTAATTTTTAAAATATCTGATTAGTGAATCATCTCTGTAGCCCATTTTTTGACTGTCAAGAAAAGAATGTATCCATTTTAGAAATGAAAAAAATCATGAAATATGTATTATTAACAATTGTGGTTTCCTGATTTGATAGTTGTATGGCTCATTTTGAGCCCATCGTTTTCCTCTTCTGACTTATAGCATCTTGCCCAGGGTTACCAATCTACTGCCAGCTGTCTGATGGATTCAGGTATTTAGCRCACATGCATGCACACTTGCACACAGAATGATTTGTTTAAATCATAAAGAAATGTGCATGTAGGAAATGGTTAAATGC